CGCATGTTTTGCATTTTTTTAAATTAATATGTTACTCTATACGATGACTGTCCCTGACATCTGTAGCCCAAAGTTCCTACAGGTACATACAACATATATATATATATATGTATATGTATAAAGGAAAGGCCCCTATTATGAGATACCGAGTTCATTTTGGGTAAATACTAGAAGTTTATAAGCAGAATTTAAAAATAATAGGTCATTTTGAAGATAATTTAATAAGCTTTAAGATAATGTTATATAAAATTTAATTTAAACTCCATTTTTTTGAAAAATTAAAAAAATGTAAAAAGTGAGCAAATCGCAAAATCAAAAAATTGTGCTCTTAATATGAGATGCCCCGAGAAATAGTAAAACGCAAAGTATAGTATCAGTATTGTAACTAAAAAACTTTATTCAATGTTTCTTAAATACAAACAAACATAGCCAGGATACGCGAAAAATGAGTATGCGATACATTATATCCAGAATACATCTTCAGGTAGTTGAAATCAAGAATCGCAGAAGGCACTCGACGTTCATTCCGGTTATCCATTTTATTATTATACTATAACATTTATACTTTAACGATTTTCACTATGACATGGGAGGATGGGTTATTTGATATTAGAAATACCCTGGGTATCTCATATTACGATTTCCACGCTTTATGGTTTTACGATCATCAAATCTAACTTCTGTAATTGGCAATTCAACATATTCCGTATTTTTTTATTAGTATAGTAATCTTACTCTATCACTACATGAAGAATTTATTGCCAAACATTTATTTATTAAATAATAAATAATATTTAAAGGCTCATGAAACTTGAAGACATCCAAAATCCATTCTAAAATCATTTTTTACAATGACTACAGGCATAACCTAATAATGAATTTTCTACTAAGTAGTTTTCGATCTAAGAGCAATAAATTCGTAGTGGTACCAATATATAGCGTCTATTTAGCAGAAACGCCGCTATCTCTTCTTAGGCGCCTATCTCGTAATAAGTGGCTTTCCTCCCCCCCTCTCTCTCACTCTCTCTCTCTCTCTCTCTCTCTCTCTCTCT